TCATGCATGAACGTCGCGAATAACTATGTCGATTGCATACTGTCTGATGTGAAACATATTGAGCTATAAATTCTACGCTGTATAAGTTGGCCAACGCTCGAGCCTCAAATTTTGCTATTTTATCTCCTATAGAACTAGTATATGTTCGTGGCCCTTAAAAGTATAGACAAACAATTTCATGTTTGAATGCTGTTCTTTAGGGTATGTGGCGTTCGGAAATATTCCATAAATTGAAAGAGTAAGAGTATGTGGCGTTCGGAAGTATTCCATAAAGTGCTACGATTTGGGATTTCGCGATTGAAAACCGAAATGATATTGATTTGTGCGATGTCGCCATGTCGGGCTATTTGCCAACCGAGCGCGCTAGCCGCTGTTATTTTGACAGAATATGATACCTCTACACTTTTCAGCCGTAATACATAATGCGCGGATTGTAATCATATTCATATCGTTTCATTTAGCTTCAAAAACTTATTTTGTTAAATGTAAAATGCGCAGCATGTTGCGTACATTGTCAAAGAAAAAAAGGTTGACTTTATTAGACTGAAATAAGCAAGATTTCCCGTTACATACATGATTTATACCGAGGAGGCGGCTTTGCATGTGCTCTGCCTCTGGCAACTATGACACCATTGCGCTCCGCGGGAACGAACACGAATAACATGTTTTTTATCAAGTTTTTGAAGCTAAATTAAACGATATGTATATGATTACAATGCGCGCTGAAAATTACGGCTGAAAAGTGTAGAGGTATCATATTCTGTCGAAATAACAGCGGCTAGCGCGCTCGGTTGGCAATTAGCCCGACATCGCACAAATCATTTCGGTTTTCAATCGGGAAATCCCAAATCGTAGCAATTTATGGAATATTTCCGAACGTCACATACACATGAAATGTTTGTCTACCTTTAAGGGCCACGAACATATACTAGGTCTAGGAGATAAAATAGCAAAATTTGAGGCTCGAGCGTTGGCCACTAATTATACTAGGCACTGCAGCGTAAAACCCACAGCTCAATATGTTTGTATCACAGTATCAGACATATGCAATCGACATAATTATTCGCGACGTTCATGATAGGGACTATAACACTTCCAAAGCTAATAAACCTATATCCTACTGTATAACTTAAAGAATACATTTATACATCAAACAATACATTTATACTCTATAGCGGCTTATTAGACTATACGAAACGGAAACATAATCAAACATTTACTTGTTATACCAGGTTATACTATAGATATCAGCAAGATAAGAAATTATTTCATTACTGGAGATTTGTTGCGTTAAATTTTCCTGTATTTATCTAGTGCATAAATGGAAAAAGTACGAAAAAAATATTAAAAATAAAAATAATATCTTCGTGAAAAAATGCGTTTTAGCACATTTTATGACCCACGACTTTACCCACGACTTTACCCGACGACTTTACCCACGACTTTACCCACGACACACGACTTTTAACCCACGACACACGACATATAGGGACACTCTGCGAGAAATTGTCATTCGAACCTTACTTGCGATTAAACTTTGGTTAACGCATACACGTGCAGACGAGCTTTCTCTTAAAAACGTCTTCAGTTGCTGCATTGCTGTAGGGTATAAAACTTGTGTGAAATGGAAGTACTTCAGAGCAGAATAGAAGAGCTGGACTAAAGATTTCGTATAATCCTCCCGGCGATGCCGGGCTATGTTTTTATTCGGCTGCTGGCTTTCAGTTGGGGTTGTCTTCCAGGACTGTGCAGAATATAGTGTTTGAGTATTTGGAGAGTAACCGTTATGATGTCATGTACAGTAAGTATAGCAATTTTCTTTGATCCTAAGATTTAGTTTGATGATGTGATAAAAATGTGACTGTATTGCCTCGCTGTTAACTCAGGAAGCCCCAGTCGCATATATATTTCAGATGAGTTGTAAAATTATCTGTGACTGTGCGAAAAATGTTTGCTGCCGTAGGCATGCACATAAGACAATTGACTGTCTGTCAACGTTTGCCACGATGCAGAAAATATTGATAGTTAGAAAATCACGGCTTTACAAATTATTTTATACGATATTAGTTTAGTCGTAGGTTTCTAGATCATGCGGGAAACATAGCTATACAGTACTATACAGGGTGTCCCCAAAAAAACGAAAACTATTGAAATCACCAATAACAATTTGATTGTTAGAATTTGAATGCCTTAGCACTCTGTTGGTTCCCACGAGTGCATAAATGATTGACATAAGTAAATTTTATGCATAAAGAAACTGTTTAAGAAGCTGTTTT